GGTGGGGGGTCGGGGGGGCAGCGGGCCAGGCTGCCTGGGATTCCCTGCCTGCTCCTGGCTCAGCACGGACGGCCCGCTGACTCAGCCACCTCCGGGCCACATCCTGCCCAGCGGGCCCGGTGCCTGCCCCCGCCGCCTGCCTGCCTGCCTGCGGCCCGGGGAGCGCTGTCAGCTTCCGTCACTGGACAGCCTGCGCGGGCACAGATGCGGGACTGGGCACAGGCTTACCTGTGCATCCACCCACCTCCCGGCAGCCCCTTCATCCACCCACCCGTCTCCACCTACCAATCTCGTATCCATCCACCCTCCGTCCCTTCTCCCACAGATAGAATGACAGTCAGTCATCCATCCCTCTCCAAATATCCCCTTCAGCTAGCCCTCCATTGCCATAACCCCAATTCAGCCATCTGCCCCTCCGTCCCTTCTTCCAAAGACAGTTTATCTATCTATCTATCTATCTATCACCATAACCCCACCCATCCATCTATCCATCCACCCACCACACACCCATCCCTCCGTCCCCATAGACTCCATCCACCCTCTCAACTATCCTCCTTTCTCTCTCTTTCTCCGCCCATCTCCTCTCTTTCTCACTCTTTTCTCTAATAAAGATGAACAAGCTCTCTATCCATCACAGCTTTCTCTTTCCCCTCCCGCCAGACTGGCGCTCCCCTCCCACCCATGGAGCCCCTTTGGCTCTTAACATGCTGCTAATAAAGTGTGAAGCCCTCCAGCCTGTGGGTTTGTCTGTCTCCCTGCACTCCCCCCTCCCCTGTCTGCCCTTCTGCAAACCCTCTTCCTGTCTTTCCTCCCTCTCTCTCTCCACTCCCTGTCTTACTTCCCAGACGGCTCCTTCCTCCCTCCCACCCCTCTGCCCGCCCTCTCCTCCCTCCCTCCCTGGTAGGTGGCTCCAGGCCCCGCCAGCTGGCCCTGCTCAGAGTTATTTTCCCCTCTCGCTCCCAGCCGCCTCGGAGTCCCTTGCGCTGGGGACAGACGAACGGACACACAGAGGCAGGCATGGGCCCCTCTCTGCTCTCGGCTGGCCTGGTGCTGGGCTCCCTGCTCCAACTGGGAGTGGGAGACCCCGGCTTCAGCCCCGAGGTGAGTCTTGGGCCCCTTCACCGTTGGCCAACTGTTGGGTTGGGTTGTTGGCCAACTCTTGGGTTGGGTTGTTGGCCAATGTTTGCCAGAGTCGGCCCAACTTCACACCTCCGCAGGCCACTCTGCTGCTATCCCTTCTTCCTCCCCTGCCCCCCTGCTACCTCCTCCCGCGGCGCTTGTCTGTCTCCACACTTTTCCCCTTCCTTCCCATCCCCCTCTTCTATCCCTTCACGGTGGTTTCTTTCCTCATCTTTTCGTGCCTTGCTGGTGGCTAACTTCCCTCCCACACTTGTCCCCCTGCCAAACTTTCGCATTCCTTTGCTCCCGGCCCTGACTCGACCCTTTCTTCCCCTTCTGTCCCTGCCTTGTGCTTTCTCCCACCATCCTTTCTTCCCGGATGAACCCCAACCCTTGTCCTTGGCACTCCTCTGGTTGGCAAACTTCTACACTCCCTCCCTCACTCCCCCCCCACCCCGCTGCCCCCCCCAGTCCTCCCCCCCAGCCCTCCTGTGCCCAGATCCCTCGTTTTTCCTTTCATCACTCCATCTGGGATTTTCCACGATCCTTTCTTTCATGGCCAGGGGCAGGTCACAGTGCCAGCCTGCCTCCCACACTCGTTCGCTTGCCAAACTTTCACGTTCCTTTGTTTCTTCCCATCCTGTCTCCAGTTCCTCCCCTCCCGTTTTCTTGCTTCTTGCTTCCCCCCGGGGACGTGTCCTCTTGCTCTAGCAGCCCCCATCCTCTGTTCTCCAGCCTTTCCCATTCCCCTCATTCCTGGCTTCCAGTCCTCTGTCTGGTTTTTCCCACTCTCCTTTCTTTTGGAGCTGGCCTGGCTGCCCTCCCCCAACTTGTCCTTCTGCCAGATCCGGCACCTTCCCTTGCTCCTCTGCTCTCTTCCAGTTCCCTTCTCACCAGTCTTTCTTTTCTCTTCTGTTCTCGCACTCACACCCCACTTCCATCTCTTCCCTGCAGCCGCCTTTAGTCCTCTCTCCGAGGGCGGGCGAGGGGGGTGCTCAGGGCTGCACTCCTCCATTTCCTAGATTTCCCCTATCCCTCCTTCTTTGGGCTCCCTTCCTGACTGGCTCACCCTGCAGCCAACTTTCACCCCTCCCTCATTCCCTTCCTTCCTTCCTGCTCCCCCCTGTCCTCTCAGAGGGTTCCCCCCACCCCCGGACACTCGTTTAGCTCTGGATTTTCCCCTTTCCTCCATCCCCCAGGCTGGGTCCATGCCACCCCTGGCCCAGAGCGGGACCCACATCTGGAGCTGGGCAGGAGCCACCGGGGAAACTTGGCAGGGACTCAAGGCGCTGGCTGGCTGCTTGCTTTCATTCGTCCTTTCCAGCTTTCTATATTCATCCAACCAGATTCTTTCTCTGTCTGTCCATTTGTCTGTCCTAGTAGCTGGCTGCCCTTGTATATCTCGCCCGCCTATCTCTTCCTTCTTCCTTTCCTTCCTCATCCATACCCACAGTCTGTCTATCTATCTATTCCTCCCTCCTGCACCTTTCTTTCTTTTCCAGACAGTTCCTCTATTCAGCTAGACCCACCACCCCTCCCCTTCTCTCTCCCTCCGTCCATATACTTTCAGTCCATCCGTTCCTCCTCCCCCCGCCCTCCGGTTTCCCAATCCTTCCTGGAAAGACAATTACAAATCCCGGGTTGTTTTCCTCCTTCCTCTTGCCAACACCCTTGTCCCCCCACCAAACTTTCTCCTTCCCTCTCTTCCCTGGGCACTGGTCCAGCCCCAGGGGGGACGAGGCCAGGGAAGACCCCTCTTGGAAAGAAAAAACAAAGCAGAAGGGACAGATGAGTGTAGGGAGAAGGGTGGGGGGAGCATGGTTTCATCCTGTGTGACCTGACCTCCTACTTTGCAGGAAGGAAAGAATGGGGGAGTGAGGAGAGAAGGAAGCAAGCAGCACAGGGCCAGGCTGGCGCTGGAAGGTTCCCCTCCCGTTTCCTGTGGGGAAAAATGAATGAGACAGCATGGGGAATAAAGGAATGCAGAGACAGACAGAACGAGACGGCCCCCTGAGCGAAGGAATGTGCGGAGAGACAGAGCGAGACAGGCCCTGCAGTGAACGAATGCAGAGACATACAGAGTAAAGCAGCTGAGGGATAAACAATGGAGCAGAGAGACACAGCGGGAGGCAGACCCAGGATAAATGAGTACCCAGATAGAGGGAACCGGACAGGCCTGGGATAAATGAATGCAGAGACAGACAGAACAAAACTTGCAGAGAGAAACAGAATGGCACAGGCCCAGGGTAAGCAAATGAGCAGAGAGACGGAATGAGACAGGCCCGGGATAAACTAATGCAGAAGGATAAGCTGGCCTGGAGTGAACAATGCAGAGAGAGACAGTGAGACAGCCTTGGCCTAAATGAATTTAGAAAGAGGAAACAGGACAGGCCTGGAGCAGATGAATGCAGAGAGAGGCAGAACACACAGCCCTGGGCTAAATGAATGCAGAGCGGGAACAGGATCGGCCCAGAGCGAATGGCTGTAGAGACAGAATGAGACAGCCCTGGGATAAACAAATGCAGAGACCGATTTTTTTCTCTGTGGAGGGAGGAAGGAGGGAATGAGGCAGCAGGAAGGGGTGGGGGGGGGCATCTGGGTGCGTAGGCGAGCGGTTCTCTTGGAAGGGGATAATTTCAGCTGGAAGGGGATGAGGTCAGGGGCTATTTAAACTGCGTGACCCCTTGGCGGAAGAGCTGGGGGCGTCTAGGGCCAAATTTAGAATGGGTGGGAGTGAGGGATGGAGGGAAAACAGGAGGGAGAAAGCAAAGATGGGGGGTTGGTGCCATGCAGAAGAGGTGCCAGGCTCCCCACCCAGCCCTGCCAGTACCCCTCACTCCTGAACTGCAGCCCCCTCCCCCCCCCCCCCGCCTGTGCCCTGGCCCCTCACTCTCAACCCGCAGCTCCCAGCTCTGGGGCAGGGGTTGTCCACCTGCAGTCCCAGCCCCTGTCTTGGCCCTGCCAGGCCTGGCTCCAGCAGTACGGGTACCTGCCGCCTGGTGACCTCCGCACCCACACGCAGCGCTCACCCCAGTCCCTCTCGGCTGCCATTGCTGCCATGCAGCGCTTCTATGGCCTCCAGGTCACAGGCACCGCTGACCTCGAGACCGTCAAGTGAGTCCTCATGGGCCATGGGGCTAAGATCTGGGGGGGCTGGGCATTCTGGAGACACAAGGGGCAAGAAGCGGTTGAGTTGTAGCCCAGGAGTGTTGGGCTTCAGATTGGTTGCAGCCCAGCTAGGTTGGGTTCTAGACCAGTTGCAGTCCGGTTGGGTCCTAAACCATTTGGGGCCCATTGGGACTCAGGTCTGGAACTACTGGGCTCCAGCTGTGCTCGTTCTGGAGCCATGAAGGGCCCATTGGATCTAGAGCCCATGGGGGTCTGTTCCTGTTTTGGTTCTAGACCTGTCAAGGGGTAATGGGCATCAGGATCAGGACCCACTCAGGGTGGGGCAAAGGGAGTTGGGTTCTAGACCCATGGTGGGAGCAATGCACAGACGACATCCTGGGGCCTAATGGTGTTGGGGTCTAGACCCATTGGAGGTGCAGCAGGGGTTGGGCTCTGAAGTCATCAGAGCCCACTTTTATTGGGTTTCTAGAGCCATTAGGGCCAAAGGGGGCTGGGTTCTAGACCCAGCAGGGTCCTTTGAACTTGGGGCTCTCAATGTATTCATTCCAAGGGGCGCTGGGTCCTAGACTCAACATGTTCAATGGGCATCAGGCTCCAGACCCATTTGGGGTCAGCAGGGAGTGGGTTCTAGAACTGCTGGGGTACAGTGGGCATTGGGTTCTAGATATGTTCTGGCCCCATTTGTGGCCCGTGGGGGTGGGGTTCAGGGGGATGCCCCCACTCCTGGGAACCCATCATGGAACAGGGCTCAGCGGCCAGACACCTGGGTTCTCTTCCCAGCCCAACGCAACAGGAGGCCCTGATCTTGGCTGAGGTGCGGGGGGCAGGGGCATGCCAGAATTGCCTCTCCCCACCTTGCTAATGTTCCCCCACCTTCACCAGGGCCATGAAGAGACCACGCTGTGGTGTCCCTGATAAGTTTGGGGCCGAGATCAAGGCCAACGTGCGGCGCCGGCGCTATGCCATCCAGGGCCTGAAATGGCAGCACAACGACATCACTTTCTGGTGAGGGGCCTGGTCCATGTCACTGGGGATCAGATGGAGAAAGGGGAGGGCCATGACCCCCACAGGACCCCCTCTCTCCACCTGGCACTGTTGGGTGACCGTGGGGCAGGACATGGCTGACATCTCCTGCCCCACAGCATCCAGAACTACACGCCCAAGGTGGGGGAGCACGCGACATTCGAGGCCATCCGCCGGGCCTTCCGGGTGTGGCAGAAGGCCACGCCGCTGGTCTTCCGGGAGGTGCCCTACGCCTACGTGCGTGAGGGCCGCGAGCCCCAGGCCGACATCATGATCTTCTTCGCCGAGGGTTTCCACGGTGACAGCACCCCCTTCGATGGCGAGGGTGGCTTTCTGGCTCATGCCTACTTCCCTGGGCCCCACATTGGTGGTGATACCCACTTCGACCTGGCTGAGCCCTGGACTGCCCGCAATGACGACCTCAGTGGTAAGCATGGCAGGAAAGGAAGACGCAGGCACCCCCGCTTATCCCTTCCCCTCCAGTCCTGCCTGACTCAACGTCACGGGGCTGCTTCTGCTTTCCACTTCTCATGGAACTCCCCGAATTCCCCCCTGTACCATTACCACTTCCCTGCAGCCTGACTCCCACTGACGTATCTGCATAGGGCCAGGGAGACATGTTCTGGCCAGTGGCACAATGACCCTGTTCTTGGGTGGACGTAGTGATGTGCCCGTTGCTGGTGGATGTGTGGGGGTCCCCGTCCCTATTCCCAATTGATGTCATGGGCTCTCTGTCCTTGGAGGACATGGTGGACTCTCCATTCCCAGCAGATGTGGTGGGGTTCCTGTCCCTGGCCAACAAAGGAGAGTTCCTTGTTCCCCAAGTGAACATAACAGGTTACCTGTTCCTGGAGAACATGGGGGAGGGGGGTTCCTCATCCCCAGGGGACCTGGTGGGTTTCTCGCTCCTCATTCCCAGGTGGCTGTAATGGTTTCTCTGTACTGGGTGGCTGTGGAGAGGGCCCCATTCCAGGCAGACCTGGTGGGTTTCCCATTTCCAAGTGGATGTTGAGGGGTTCCCCGTACCTAGGAAATGCAGTGGGTCTCCCGTTTTCAAGCAGGCATGATGGATTCTCTGTACATGGCAGTTGTGGCAGGTTCCCTGTTCCTAGGTGGATGTGGTGGGTTCTCTCTATGGGGTGAATGTGGGGGATTCCCTGTTCCCAGCACATGCGGTGGTTTCCCCATTCCTGGCGGAAGTGGAGAGGTCCTTGTTCAGGGAAAATACAGTGGGCTCCCTGTCCTCAGGCGGTCGTGAAAGGTCCTGCATCCCTAGCCATGGCTCTAATGCGCTGCTTCCTGCAGGGAATGACATCTTTCTGGTGGCTGTGCATGAGCTGGGCCATGCGCTGGGACTGGAGCACTCCAATGACCCATCAGCCATTATGGCGCCCTTCTACCAGTGGATGGACACTGAGAACTTCGTCTTGCCTGATGATGACCGCATGGGCATCCAGCAGCTCTATGGTGTGACCACGACCCCAGATCTCTGACTCCTGACCTGCCCCAGCCCTACCACAGCCCCTTGCCTTGACCCTACCCAATCCCATAATGACTCCTAACACCTAACCAATGTCTAACCCCTGACCTAACCCAGCCCCAACACAACCCCTCCCTTTGACGCTACCCAATCCCAGGATGATCTCTGACCAATTCCCACCCATCTCCCAACCTGGACAATGAACTCAGCGGCTGTTAGCACCAACCAGCCATTGCGTCCCTACCCTGCCCTTACATCCTACCCCCAGCACCTGCCTGTCCCAGAATCCTCCACCCCTGGGACCCCTCCCTCACCATTGAGCTTAACCCCTTCTGCTCCTTCTCTTAGGGGATGAGTCCAGGGGCCCCAGCAAGGCACCTCCTGGGCCTCGCACTACAGTTCGGCCCCGTACACCCGACCGGCCCCACAACCCACCCTACGGCCCCAAGATCTGTGATGGGAACTTTGACACCATTGCTGTGCTCCGTGGGGAGATGTTTGTTTTCAAGGTGGGGCCTGGGGCAGCTGCGAGAGTGGGGGCAGGGGGTGCCTCAGGTCAGGAGTGAGGGGCACCAACAGGGCTAGGGGTGCAGGGGGTTGCGGGTTGGGAGTGAGGGGTACCAACAGCTGCATGCGTTTCCGTGGCCACAGGAGCGCTGGTTCTGGCGAGTCCGAAATAACCGGGTGATGGATGGGTACCCTCTCCCAATCGGGCAGTTCTGGGTCGGTCTCCCAGCGACTATCAACACGGCCTATGAGAGAAAAGATGGGAAATTTGTCTTCTTTAAAGGTAACTGGCCCTGAGCTGGCAGGGCAGGGGGCTGTGGGTCAGGAGTTGAGGGGCAGTGGCAGGGCTGGGAGTGGCAGGGAGCTGTGGGTTGGGCATGAGGAAAACTGGTGCCCTCTCCCTTGCAGGTGACAAGCACTGGGTGTTTGACGAGGCCATCCTGGAGCCTGGCTACCCCAAGCACCTCAAGGAGCTGGGCCGGGGGCTGCCCAAGGACCGTATTGATGCTGCCCTGTTCTGGATGCCCAGCGGGAAAACTTACTTCTTCCGGGGCAACAAGTGAGTCCTGGCACCACTTTGTGGACATCTGGGGGGAGTGGGGACGACCCCCGCCAAGCCACGGGGCCCTAAGCTTCAAGACTTCCTCACCACTGCTCCTGGTCCCCAGGTATTACCGCTTTACCGAGGAGAGCCAGTCAGTGGATTCGGACTACCCCAAGAACATCAATGTCTGGGAGGGCATCCCTGAGGCCCCCCGTGCAGCTTTCATGGGCAGCGATGAGGGTAAGTGGCAGGGGAGGGGGGCAGGTACATGGGGTGGGGCCAGTGAGGTGCCAAGGCTCCTGTCTCTTGGCACCTTGGACAGTCTACACGGGGGCTCCACTGAGTTCTGGGCAATGCTGGTTGCCCCCAAGTATCTAGGGGCCAAGATGGCAGGTGCCAGCGCTCTATAGGGGAAGTCGTGGCCTTGGGGTCGTAGCTGAGGGACCCAACCATTGGGATAGACATGGCAGTGGCCTTTGAGTCTGCCTCATTCCTTGTTCCCACATCATGATCCACTTGGAGGGCCAATGTCCTTCAGCTTGACCCCAGTCATCCCTTGTTGGGCTTCTCAGGGTATGACATGGGGGTAGAATTCATCTTGCCTGGGTGGATCAGACCCCGTGTGGATCAGACCCTGGGCTTGCCTCCTGTTTAGTCTGGGTGGGTCTCTGGGTAAGCCACAGGCCTGGCCTTTGTTTGATGTTAATGGAGGGGTCTGGAGAACCTGTTTCATTAGGCCTTGGTGGGCCTCGATATCCCACTGTGAGATGATACTCAACTGTCACCACCTAGGCTGAAGAGCTGGGTGTTGCAGGCTGACCCAGGCATGAGAGGTCAGGGGTTAAACGGCAGAGCTGCGGGGGTCACAATACCAGGGATCAGGCAGAGTCCAAGGCATTCAGCCCAGGGTCGAGTTAAGCCATTGGCCATGCCAGGAGGTCCGAGCTGGGGCTTGGCTACCCACAGGGAGCCACAATTCCTCCCTCCCATTGTCCAAGGATCAAGCTGACCCCCTCTCTCCAATTGGCTGAAGAGATGGAGCTGTGGGATTTGTTCTTGCTTTCTGGCTCTCCAGTCCTTCAGCCAATCCCATGGCTCTTCTCTAAGCACCCTCCAACTGGGGACAGATGCTAGATGGCCTCCCCATTACCAAATTCACTGTCAATGTTTCCTACTGCCCTCTTCAAAGTCCATCTCAGGGTCATATGAGCCCCCCATGGCCATAGTGTTCCATAGTTGGCCCCCCCAATGGCCAAAGGCCAAGTCTTCTCCCGAGCCACGACTTCCTGTCTCATCAGCCCAGGCTGTGGTTTCTTTGCTTTCTTTCATGCTCAAATGCTTGAGCCCGTGTTGGCTAAACCCAACCTTCTGCTTTGCTGACTTCCTTCCTCACTGCTGGCTACTTCCTGCTGCCTCGGTCTTCTGTCAATTTTGATGGTGAAATCTGGTCCTTCCTCTCCAGGCTACAGATGCTCAATACAGCAAGGTCAAGAGCTCTCCCTCTCTCTGACCCACAGCCTTTCTCCCCAGCTTTCTTGTTCAGTTTTTCACCTTCACAGCCATTCCTCCCTTGGCTTTAGCCTTTATTTTTTTCCCCATAAGAACTGAGACACCTCTGCCAGGTCTACTCCTTCACAGCCTGGGTCTCTGGGGAGCCGGGGCTGAAATTACTCAAGTCTAGATGCAAAAAAAAGTCTGAAGTTGGCCAAAGCAACTCGTTAGGCACCTATTGGCCAAGATAGTCTACTCTGTGGGAAGCAGTGGGGCTTTGTGGTGGGGGAAGCCAAATGAGGTGGGTTTTGATGCATCCTAATGTCTTGTCCTTTTGCTTGGGTGTCTCCTTGGTCTGTCTGTCCCTCTCCCTGTCTCTCCGGGTCTTCCTGCTTCGCCCATCGACAGCCTACACCTACTTCTATAAGGGCAACCGCTACTGGAAGTTCAACAACCAGAAGCTGAAGGTGGAGCCAGGCTACCCCAAGTCGGTGCTGCGGGACTGGATGGGCTGCCCTGGGGGTGACAGGCCTGATGAAGAGACCGAGGTCATCGTCATCGAGGTGGATGAGGCGGGCGGCGGGGCTGTGGGGGCCACAGCTGTGGCCCTGCCCGTGCTGCTGCTGGTCTGTGTCCTGGCCGTGGGGGTGGCCGTCCTCTTCTTCAAGCGCCATGGCACACCCAAGCGCTTGCTCTACTGCCAGCGCTCCCTGCTGGACAAGGTCTGAGGGGCGGGGCTCCCAGTGGGCCCACCCCCTGCAGGACATGGAGGGAGGGGGCAGGGCTTCCCCCTGGCTACTCCCTCTTCTCCCCATGGCTCCACCCACTCTCCCTGCTGCTCCGCCCCTTTCCCCTATTCTCTACCTTCTATCCTATGTGAGGGTGGGGCTTGGGCTAGCCCCCCCCAAGCTCCTTCCCCTCCCTGCTGGCCAAGGCTTGAGGGGGTGAGACTTTACCCCAGTCTGCTGTCCCTAGAGCTCCACCAGGTGGAGGAGGTGTGAGGGGCGGAGCTTACCATGGCCCCACCTCCCCCATTGGCCAGGGCTTCGGGGAGGGAGGGGCTTCTCTCTGCCTTGCTCCCCATGGGAGACGCGCTGAGCGCGCCTTGACCCCACATCCCTCCCCCAGGGCCTAGCTCCACTTTGACCTCGCTGGGAAAGGTCAAAGTTCAGGTCCCCTGGTGGCCTCATGACCTTGGCAAGGGTGCCAAAGGGAGGCTCTGATGTGACGCCCCCGGCTGGGTCAGGGGTTCAAAACCATGTTGGGTCCTCCCGCCCCCAACCTTGGTCATCTGACCCTCTCCTCTCTTCCTGCTCCAACCAATCAGCTTGCTTGACTTGTCCCTTTGCTCCGGTGGGGTGGGGCCATCTGTGGAACGGAGGCCCCTGATTGGCTGTTGGTGAAAGGGTGACTGCCAGCCAGGCAGGGCCCCTGCAATCCACAGGGAAGCCATGGGGAAAGAGGGTGAAGCCATCAAAAGAAAAGGGTGTGACTTTGGGAGAATGGGTGGGGCCTCCTCTAAGGGCGAGGCTATGCAGATGAAAGGGGAAGGGTCTCTGTATTCCAGTGGGTGGGGCTTTGTAGACGATGAGTGTATACATTCCAAGTGGGCGGGGCTATGTAGATAAAGGAGTGCTTGCATTCTAATGGGCGGGGCCATGCAGATGAGCCGGAGGGGGCTTTGCCTTACACTGGGGGAGCGCTATGCCGGAGAGGAAGGGGCGGGGGAAATGCATTCCAGTGGGCGGGGCCATGCAAATAGAGGTGAAGGGTCTTTGCCTTCCAGGGGGAGAGGGCATTCCACTGGGCGTGGCTATGCAGGTGAGGCAGGAGAAAGGGCTGATGGGAAAGAGGCATGGGTACCTAGGGGGTGGAGCAACAGTGCAAGACAGTGGGGAAAGGGGGTGGCGGCCTCATTTGGTCCCATCTAAAAGCACCCCTACCAGTCAGTGCCCCCACCCTTGAGGCTCACTGTGTGGTGGAGGGGTGGTGGTGAACTGGGAGAAGGGAGTAGTGGGACGCGGACGGCTCCATGTGGTGGGGAAGAGGGAGGCAGGGCTGTATTTCGGGAGATTCCCGCCTAATCCCTTTTGTCCCCTCCCCTGCTCCTTTCTCCCCCTGGGGTTTCTTATAGTCTTTTTTATTTGGAGGGGGGGTATATTTGGGGGAGTTTTTAACGTATAATTTTTTTTAAGAAAAAGAATCCTTAATTATTCTATAGAATAAAAAAAAAGGCAATTAACGTTGGCACGTTAATGGGGCGGGGGTGGGATTGGGGCGAGGGGGTAAGTTACCTCACTTCCTGCGGGCCGGGCTCGGGGTAGCTATTTCCCTCCATTTCTGGTGTCACAGTGTCCGGCGCTGAACGAGCTTCCAAAAATGTCCTGTTTTTTTATTATTATTATTATTATTATTGGGGGGTGGGGGTGGGGGAGGGAGTGAATTTGTTCCGTTCAGTAATTTTCTCCCGCTCCCTCACCCCGATTTATTGTTATAATTTGATAATTATTTTGCTATCGAGAATAAAAAGGAAAACACACACCCGTTTCCGGGACCATCGAACCCCACGACCCCTGCGTCTTTCTTCCCCACTGTTGGCCTGCCCCTTCTCTCGTGGGAGCTTTTAATTGCTATTTATGAATGGGAGATGAGACAGCGACAGAGGAATACTGGCTTTTCCTTTGGTGTCTCAGGGAATGGGGAATATTAGAAGATTTCGTCCCCTGTAAGTACAGTTGCCGTTAAAGAAGCATTTATAGGAAAATCTCATGAATACCTTGCTCTTTTTATTAATAAACACCTATTATCATCATCACCACCACCACTATTACTACATTTAATTATTTTATTTAAAAACCCAGTTTTAAGAGAGACAGAATGTGAGTTCCCAAGGGAAATTCATCTGGCTGTTGAACTTGCCGGAGAAATAATGGGAGTATCATGGAGGGGAGAAAGTCAGGGCTGAATATATGTTTTGGGGTAGTCAACCATTCAGGTCAACTCATTTTGGCTAAAAAAAAGAGAAGAAGGAAGGATATGAAAAATGCTTTGAAATTGTTTGGGCTTTTTCTTTAGGTGAAGAGAAAATAAACTAGTTTTTTTGGCTGTAGAACAAAATGCAACTACCATAGATACCGTCTCCCCCTCCCCATCATGACATGCACACTGATTTGGGAAAACCGTCTGAAACTATTTTTAACCAAATGGGACAGAATGGGTTACCTCGTTTGAGACATGTCCCCCAGCTTCCGATGGCTAATTTTCAGGAATAAGAGGAAGATGATACATGAATAAATACAGTAGTGGTGAATTTGCCCATTTTTCTGCCATTAAAAAAAAAAAGCATGTGTCCCCCTTCCACCCACAAATGACAAGAGATCTGGCCTTTCGGTGCCTCTGCTTTGCTAGATTTTATTGCTGAATATAAGGGTCAAATATACCCCAAATCAGAACAGTTTTCATTGTCCATCAATCATTTCACTGGGTTTTATTTGGGATGTTGTGCTGTATTATTAAAGTTCCATTATAAGGTAAAATAACTCAAGAGGCTCTATGTATTAAAGGATTTAATTTGGTATTCACGTGCACTGAGGGGAAATAGCATAATGATTGCTTGGGAGAGTATAGTTTTGTTCCTGAATTATTCCAGACATTTCACTGCTAGTCTGAACCAGGGGGAATGTGTATAAAATATGGAGGTTATTTTTATTTTTTTAAACACCCCAAAAAAACCCAGGTGGGTTTTGATGTTGTTTGCTCATAATTAACCAAAAGACAGGAAATGCGTATTAAAAATAAGAAATGTGTATAAAAATGGTATTTTAAATAGCTCTAAATGATCAATTTATTATGAAGCATTTTGATAATTAACCAAACAACAGAAAATGTGTATTAAAACAGGAAATGTGCATTTAAAAAAATGCTGTTTATTTACGGAGCTGAGTGCTCCAGAAATTATCAAGTTATCCAGAAATGATCTAGTAATGATCAAATAATTATGAGGTATTTTCATAACTAACCAAACAACAGGAAACATATTAAAATTATAGGAAATGTGCATTAAAATGATCTATCTAAATGGATCCAGATGATCCTTAAACATTCAGAACCATGCAGACACCATCAGCAATTACTTTGTTTCCAGTAAATACTGACCCACAAAAGAAAAAAAAAAAATCAGCCAATAGATACTTTAGGGTGATGATGTGACATGGAGGCTTTTGCTTTACAAAAAGGCAGGTTTTTCTCATGAGTTATCATAATGGATGTATCTTCAGAAAATGTGTGCACACATGCACACACACGCACTATATAAAACTGAAATATTTTTTGGGGAAAAAAGCAGGTTTTAGTTCATGAGCTTTTGGCAATCTGCAGGAAAAGTGTGTGTGTGTGCATACACATGCACACACTATATATTAAAACATGAAATGCTTTTTATTTTAAAAAAAGCAGGTTGTTTTTCATAAGTTAGTACTAAAATGAATGAAAGCTGTAAGAAAAGTGTAGACAAATAAATACATATATAAATGATATAAAATATATATATATATATATGGTTTTTTCCTCCACGCATTATTGATATAATGAATCAATTTGCAGGAAAATTGTAGAAAAGACAAATATATGTATATATGTTACATGCACACACACACGCATATATAAATATATATTAAAATGTTATATAGACTATATAATATATACGTTTGATATATAGATCTATATGTCTTACGATATATCAATTATAATATAAACATACACACACATTAAACCTTAAATAGCCTCCGTGACTTGTAGGGTGAACAGCTTTCAAATGCAAACTTTAGCTAACTCTACCCCATCTCCATCATCCAGCCAAGAAAAGAGATGGCCCTAAGACATCCTTGCCTCGTGTATTATCCCTGGCCCAGCACTGCTATGATAGCACTCTAACACTTCCATATTTCTTACTTATTCTTCACAGATTTTTTTTTGTGTGTTTTCATAACAGTGAAATGTTTGAGATCAATTCTCTGGGGACACCAGCCTATGGAGCTGGCTGGGAAGAAGGCAAAAAAATCAAATCAAATCAGAGTAACACAGGCAAAAGCAAGCCAACAAACTATCTTATCACCCGCCCCCCCGCCCCTTTTTAACAACAAAACCCAGGAAGAAGAGTTTAATATTGTTTAACTCAAGGGCTCATTAAGCCAAGCTGGCAGCTCCAATTAGAGTCTGAATCAGCACTTGCTAGGCTTTAAATGCTGGAGGCTGCAAATAAGAAACAGGTTGGGGGGGGGGGGGGCCGGGGGGGAAGGTAACACTGGATCCCAGCCACCCCTTGTTTTCAACTGGATCCCAGTCATCCCTTGTTTTGGCCTTCACTTGACACAGGAGACAGGGCAAGATGGACCTAGGTCTGACCCAGCTTTTATGCCTGATACCAACAGCAACGGCCCAAAGAAGCAGAGCACGCCAATTCTAACCCCCGCCCCATGTGTGGTCAGCGGGTTTATTAATTGCAAAATAACTCTTGCTGCCATCTCCAACAGGGAGCCGGCTTGCACGTCCTGGCGTCGCGGCATGGAAAAAGATCCAGGGTTTGGAGTGTTTTCCACCCTGCTCTGCCCATTTCTTGGCAGGAGCAGGGTGTTAAAATAAAGTGTAGAAATAAAGCGGGGTGTGGGGGGGACAAGGGGTTAGCATCACTGAGACCCCAGGGTAAGGACCACCAAGACGGGGGCTCTGGGTTTTGATGCTTTGTCTTCAAACCAGATGAAGGGGCTGTGGGGAGATTAGAAATGAAACCAGCATTTTCCAAGCAATGTCCGGGAACAGTGCTCGATATCCATCCTCCTTGGGTCTCTGCTGGCTTGGCTTGGCTTGGCTTGGAGGAGACAGGACATCCAAGGAGGCCCGGGGGGCTAAGGCTTTCCACACCTGGATGTTTCCTAGAGGCTTCTCTCCCAGGCCAAAGGGACATGACGTGGAGGGGAAGAGTAGAAGGGGTGTGGAGGGTCGTTTTTTCTCTCCTTAACAAAGAAATTAAAGGACTTTCTGGGGGAAATCGACTATGTAATGGGGTTGGGGGTGAGTGGCACCAGAGGGGTGAGGGGACAAGGGGCTGCAGGTCACGAGCAAGGGGCACGGCAGGGCCAAGCAATGAGTCAGGCCAGCCACGTCTTGTGGCCCAGACGCTCTGACGTGGGCCCTCACTGTGGTTTCTCCTGATTCAACCTCCGGCCACAGACAAAAGTTCCCTCAACATCAAGCCATGGAGCCGGGGGGGACGACGACATG